AAGAAGACTTACTTACTGAATTGAACTACTTAAAGAACACTATCATAGGTAGGGCTTGTATCAAACTTCAAACCCGATAAAAATATTATGTTAACTCTAACCTTTCACCTATGAACAACATAAAACATAACAAGTTTGTTTCATTCCCTTTTGTGCCCAAACTTGCTAACGAAATTACTAGACATTTTAATAATTTGAGCATTGATGTCAAAACTGTATTCAATCCTTCACATAAAATTCACATCCTACAACCTAACCCAAAAAAATCCAAACTAGAATAACAAAAACAAGACATATTACATTGTCTCCCGTGAATGTGGAAAGAAATATACAGGACAAACGACACGTTCCTTAGAAATAAGACGCAAATAACACCAACGTCACATGCATAGAGGTGAATTCTAGATATCAGCCTTAACATCAATATGAAACAGGTCACAAAATACTTTGGAATAAAATTCTTCTCCTACACAAACCCAAAACTAAAAAAAAAAGAAAGAAACTGTTCAGAAACTATAGAAATAATCAAAGCAAACAATCTTTCACTAAACCGTGATAATGGCCCTAGAAACATCAACCGTATTTGGCAAGGTCTATTCACCGCCCATACAATTGACCAGTCTTGACCTTTACCTACATCCTGTCACCTGCAAACATCATTCCGTCACATTTAATCCCAGTGTATTTTGTCTTTGTACGATATATATACCTTGGGTTGCTTAGCACTGATCATACTTGAAAAAGACAAACCAATGTTCTGTCGAAACATGTAGTATGTTCCACCATTAATAAAACTTTTCCTTATGCTTACAAATTATTGTTTGCCTGCCTGTTATTACTGCTGTGGTTCCCTATGTATATTGCATAGAAAATAAGTGGTTTCACGGGCCCTTGTTATAGTGGACGATATAAAAATACAACGATAATTTCAGGGTTAAACAAAATTATCTAGCCTAACTATGTATAGACTTCCAATGAAGCCTTTGACTAATAAGAAATTAGTAGAACCGTTGACAACTAAATTCATATAGTAGTGGGTATACATGTTTCTCATTAGTTTTATGCGTTCTACGGCATGATTTAGTTGGTTTTTCGTTATATCTTATAAGGAACTGATTAAGATACCTATTTGCCTAACATCTGTGGAGTTATTACATTCTCAGGTCTGTGATATTGAAACAACTAATTAATTATTACGTGCTGTTGTAATTATTATTTGTATATATTAAAGACCAACCAGGTGGTTGATGTAACATATATCCAAATAATACTCTTGTAACAAAATATCTAAAAATATAAAAAGATAAACATAGTCTTGATAAGACTAACCAGACGGTTGATGTAACATATATCCAAATAATACTCTTGTAACAAAGTATCTAAAAGTATTACAAAGATAAACATAGTCTTAATAAGACCAACCAGGCGGTTGATGTATCATATATCCAAATAATACTCTTGTAACAAAGTATCTAAAAGTATTACAAAGATAAACATAGTCTTGATAAGACCAAAAAGGCGGTCGATGTAACATATATCCAAAGTGTCTAAAAGTATTAAAAAGATAAACATAGTCTTGATGAGCTAGTTTGAAAATAATTGTGGTTTACGTAACAAAAAATTCCGAAGTTCTGCTCTTGATGGATGTAAAAAACGAACGCCATCTTAAAAGATTCCATTGTAAAGAGCAACAACCATACTCTTATGTCTTTTTGTTTTTTTAACTTGTTGTTATTTTAACAAAATATAATCATGTAAAAGCTTATAATTTGATGATATGCTAAATATATTGAAGTGGATAGATAGGTAAACCCCAAATATTATTATTGTAAATACAGCAATTTTGAATGATTCTTATTGTCGTTAGTAGAGTCGCGGGTTAGTCCTGTGGTAGAGCTCTGGAATTCTGAGCTAAGTTCGAATCCGACGATACTACAAAATATTCCCCTGCACTTTAGGCTCGGGGTGAATTATAGGAATAGCAGTCAATTCCTAAGGGTGGAAGGGGGTGTTGATGATTGGCTGCCTTCCATCTAGTCAATACTTTACAAATTAGGGACGGTGACAAATAATCTTAGTAGCTTTGCCATAAATGCAAGTATTACAATAGCAATGTGAAGGGCACCCGCATTACAATAGCAATGACTTTTTGATAATCTGGATTTGAAACCGAATAATCTCAAAAAAATTATGCATAATCTGAATAAAGTAAAAAAAAATAAATAAAAGTGGGCAAAAATAATTTTGGTCTCCAACAAAATTATGAATTTTTAGCATAGTTTCGGTTATAAGGTACGCCACGACGCTAAAAGGTATTTCCTCCTCAATTTCTTTGGGTTTAAAATTACATTGATAGTTGATAGAATTTCCCAATCACACAAATACTAGCTCTACCTGAATTACACATGTTCGTATCCTGGTTACTTAGCAACGTAACTGTAAAGATAAGTTTAGAGATTTGAATTTATGGGTGAATTTCGTTACGTTAATTACACATGTTTGTACGGGGAATGTAACAAAGACATGAAGCCTCACATCTTCTTAAGGAAAATGCACATTGATTATTCAAAAACACACAAACAGTCAATCCTTAAATTGTTTATTGTATCAGTTTAAACTTAAAAAAAATCATTTATCACATTATTTTTATAAAGCAATAAACGACAGTGAAACAACATTATTCCTTAATATCCTAAAAACAAAAAATATAGGGGGCGCTTTTCTTACCTTAAAAAAGTTCATATTTCATAAATCAAATGTACAAAAAATCCAGTTAATGCAGACCAGACTGTTACGTATAAGTACACAAATAACCAGCCTATTAATTTCTCTGGCTAATAGTTCCGGTAACCTTATGGAAAAGATTAATCGCCGCTTATTGAAAAAAAGTTAATTGATATTCGGAGCGATTTCGGAAAGAAGATTTTTTTTTCAGGATTAAATAGGGAATGAGCAAGAATTATTAAAGTTACTCATTTCTTCCAATGGGAAAAAAAAAAAGCTTCTTGAAAAATTCTCGAATTATCAAGTAGCTAGTGGATGGTCGTAAGGCTGAGAAACGTATTGTTCATTTGAGGCTTCGTGAGAAATGTTTTGAGACACACCCTTTGCATTTTCAAATGTTCTTTTGGGGTCAATGACAGTTACATATGTGTGCGTCAAATGCTGGAAAATGGAGGTATTGAATCACTTCAGTAGCATTACTCTTGTGGCCCTAATTATTTTTCTCTTTCTTTAATCGTTTATTGTTTTTCATTGATAAAGAATATAAAGAATTAGTTTAACTTTTAATTAAGGAAAGTGCATTATCAAAATTTATTTTCAGCATATAAAATGTACAATAATTATATTTTCTGAGAAGGAGTTTTTAGCAACCGTATGTAATGGTTTCAAATTATCTCGATTGTGGTGCCCTCTAACCCTCATGAATGTTAACAGTTAATCTCTTCCTTATTAGTTGCTAGAACCGTCAATGAATGTGTCTGAATAAGATTGCTTGTTATTTATTTTCTCATAGTTTCTATGCAATTTGATAAATTCATTCTTTTTCTATTTTGATTTTAAATAATTACTAGTTCACGGCGATTTTCAATCACATGCTCATAAATGGAGATGTGAGGTTACTATCACAGTGTTAATCGATATTTCTGTTGCTAGTCCTTTGATTCGTTTGAACTTTAACAGAGATTTCCTCCGTTTAACTCAAACCCGATTAACATACTGAATATCTAACAGAAGCATTAACTATCAAATCAAAATATAACTTTACTAGATCAACAGTTCAATCAATCTTTCCTTGATCATCCTTTCTTGAATGTATACTTAACTCTCACTTCTACCAAGTACGGGAAGTTTCTAGATTCTAGGACTACTTTTATGAACGTTCTAGATCTAGCGTCGTCATCATGATTATCATCTCCCTCTAGCAAATAACTAAATGACAACATTAAAAATAAATAAATAATGTGTTTGTATTGCCACAGAAGACTGTTATTTTCTCGTAAAAATATTGTCTGTCGTCCTGTTTATGTTATAAGACATATATTTTAATTCTCCAAAATAAATTGCCAATAATTAAGTTAACTGCAAACCCATTGAAATACTCTAGAGTCAAATATTACGTCATCAATAACATTCATAATTTGTAACATTCGAAAATATAAAAATAACGTAATGCGAAGAGCAGTATGATGTTTGTTTTGAATTTCGCGTAAAGCTACACGAGGGTTATCTCCGCTAGCCGTCTCTAATTTAGCAGTGTAAGACTAGAGGGAAGGTAGCTAGTCATCACCACCAACCGCCAACTCTTGGGCTACTCTTTTACCAACGAATAGTGGGATTGACCGTCACATTATAACGATTCCACGGCTGAAAGGGCGAGCATGTTTGGTGGGACGGGGATTCGAACCCGCGACCCGCAAATTGCGACTCGAGTGATCTAACCACCTGGCCATGCCGGGCGAGCAGTATGTTTGTTTGTTTGAAATTAAGCACAAAGCTACACAATGGCCTATCTGTGCTCTGCCCACCACGGGTATCGAAACCCGGTTTCTAGCGTTGTAAGTTCGCAGACATACCGCTGTGCCACTGGGGGGCGCGAGCAGTATGAAAGAACTCCCTAATATTTTTAATACTTTATTAGTTATGTTGAGATTTTATGTATTTCTAATCGACATTTCTATAGTTAGTCTTTTGATTCTTTTATAGGTATACGTTCAAGATTTTCAATAAAAATAAATATAACAACAACATTTATCGTATTAACTGTTCACGAAAAAATAAAAAGATCCATGTCATTGAGATAAGCATCTTTTGAGAAATGACAATATTTCACTTCTTCAGTTTTTTTTTATGAATCAAATCATTAAAATATTTTTTTATTTACTCGAAATATTTTACCAGCGATAACATAATTTTCCTGTTTCGTAAATGAGCATTTCTGTTAAGTTATCCATTATTTTTATTTTTCATAAAGTTTTTATATGATTTATTTGTTTCAGTTTCCGTGCCGAATTTTTCTATCAGGCCCCCACTTATAGGTAATTTTGTTTTCATAGTTATTTATCGGCATTTTGAAAGAATCAGAATTTATCTTTTGTTCTTATATAGGCTTACACTCATCCTTACACTTGGAATAAAGTGTATAATAAAAGTGTGTAAAATATAATGATCTTAGTACTAAGTGTCCTGTGCTACTTAGGAAATATTTAAGAAGTGTCCTATGCAAAATTATTAGATAATGGGCTACAGTTGATGTTCATTGATTATGTTGTTGTTTGTTTTCCAGAGCGGTACCATTACACGAGTACCTATGCCTGTGAAGGAAGGGAACTTCAAATTTCATGTAACGACGGCGACCATATACGCCTTGTTCGAGCCAACTATGGTAGATTTAGCATAAGCATCTGTAATGACAAGGGCAACACGGATTGGAGCGTGATTTGTATGTCAGACAGATCTTTCCTTATCATGCAAGATAGGTAATGAATCTTAAACAGCTTGCTGAATAATAGCAACCTGTTGTATTCCTAAAGAATCAAGTACTGTCCAGACTGCGTCGCTTTAAAAAGAGATTAGCGTCTTTAGTTTGACTGAGCTGGTTACTTTGGGTGATAAACTTCCATTGTTGTTAGAATAAATTGATAAATTATTTTATGCTTTTCGTACTATAGGAGTAACAAAGGTATAACGCAAGTATAATCTATTGTATCGGTTCTGTTTTTTTTTTCCTATTTTTATTACTTCTTTAACTATTTTCTTTCTTTTTTTCTCAGATGTAGCGGCAAGTCTTCGTGTAGTGTATTTGTCTCGAGCGAAAGTTTTGGAGATCCTTGTCCTGGTACATTGAAATACCTAGAAGTACAGTACCATTGTATTTCCCGTAAGTATAAAAACAATTTATTTATTTATTTACAATGAACTATTTAAACAGCAACTTAAGTATTTCTGATAGGTAGAATAACTAGAATACAACTTACTCAACACAGTAAGTTCTTTATTTGTTGTTAAACACAAAGCTACACTATGGGCTATCTCTGGTGTGCCCACCGCGAGTATTGAAACCCGATTCTAGAGGTTGTCACAGTATAGATAGTACAATGTGCAACTTATCTTATTGTAGTCTAGTTAATACTCACCTTAGCCGTATCTTCAATTTAATGTGATACTGTTAGAAGTCTGATGTATTTTCAGATTAAAAATTTACGTTTGTGATAGGTTTTACTTTTTCTTGGTTCTTTAGTATTTGTGCTGACATGATATCTAAATATATATATATCGAAAATAAAACGTAATTGTATAAAAGTAACTTAAATTTTCGTTGACAATCGGGCTACGTATTCTATAATTCAAAAACCTTTCATGTTCATTAGTCCCTCCAAACCAGCGTCAAGAAGTTCCAACTAGAAAGTAGCAAAGAGGAATAAAGATTTAATTATAACAATTTAATTTTTGTGTCAGTCACTTGCACTTTACATTAGTTTCATGTAAGCTTTCCAATTAATTTGAACATTAATTATTATGTATTTTGACAAGAATTATGTTTCAAGCCTGTAGGCTGGAGTGAAATAAAATAATTATGAATTATTGTGAAAGCTAAATGAAGAAAAATAAATTCATAAAAGTTATCATATCTTCATTATTTAATTACTTTCTTTACCTATGATAAAGAATCGTCAAGTTTAAAAAGGAATTTAAAATGCCTGGAGATTCAAAGCTTTTATCAAAGTTAATATGATTGGATTTTGATTTCGCCCTTACTTTGAAAAATATGTTTCTCTGTGGCTCAGCGTTAAGTTTATGGACCGACAAAGCTGAAATCCGAGGCTCAATGTACCCGCAGTGGACAAAGTGCGGATAATCCATTTGTAACTTTGCACAAAGGAACATCTTGAAATATATACTTTTATGGTTGCTTGCGCCATCTATTAGGGTATAATACAACGCTTACGGAAAGGGTATCAGGCCAATAGCATGGTGGTTTAAATCTAATACTGCAACTAAATAGGACAATGTTATCGCAAAAATAAATAAATAAATAAAACGGAAAAAACAAACTCAGGTATTTAGGAGTGCCTGGGATAAATTTCGGCAGTCAATGTTTAAGGGTTTACATGCTACAACTTTTAAAGACAAACAGATACAGAACGAAATTTATATTTCTTAAATAACAAATGTATTTTTTGCAGTCAGTAAGTTTATAATTATAATTAACAGATCATTTAAACACACCTTTCATTTCAAACTATCGAACTAATATTAAAATAGCATGGTTTGTGTCTTAAGAGTTGTGTATTTTAAATGCCTTTTAAATAGAGCCATCAGCTTGTGTGTACGTATATGACAGCTTATTGCATTTATTATTTCATGTTATACATAAAGGTTGCACATTTGTAATCATTTTAGTTTCCCCTCTAGTTATATAGGACAATTTTGTTGTAACCAGGTTTTAATTTGATTCATGCTAGCGAATTCTCGAATTGGATCAAATTCGCCAACTGGCACAGAACACCCTGCAATAGACAGTCCATATTTCCATACATTCAATTTTACTAATCCTGCTGGAAGACCCATAATCGGGCTTTGGTTAAATAATGGCACATTAAACCTCAGCAAGTATTTTGACGGTGCTGATACCAAAGGTGTTGGTGCAGATGGGATAGATGCTTCGGTAACCCCAACATCTAAATACATCTCTACAGAACGTACGATTTCTGTTACAAAACCTTATCCTGCTACAAGGACAACGCCAAATTTCGTGGTGACAACAGAAAAGGAAAAAGAGAACGTTTTAGTTCACGGTATGGTATGCAAGATTAATCTAATGTATACGTTGAATTTAAGTTTACTATCTTATAAGTTCAAAATATGAGCAATTAAATACCTAATTTAAAAAATAATAAGAATATGATACTTACAGGGAGATGTAATACTATTAGCAATTATAATTTAAAGTTTGGAAATAACAATGAGGGTCTATATCATGTTATTTGGAACACAATAAAGTTGTGTTTGTGGTATTTGTTATTATTTTTACATCAGACAGTAAACTAAAACATAGAAATATTCAAAGAAAAATATCGTAGATCCTCAAATAGGCCCAGTATGAATTCGCTTTCTGTCGGTTGTATTTGTTGGCTAGTTTACAAAGCTCATAACGTGTAATAGCTGTCATTGTTATTACAAAAAATGTATAACTAATTAGATTCTTATAGTTATTTATATGTACAATTGAAGTAAGAAAAGCACAATGTTAGTTTTAATCACAATGAAACGAAAAAAGTAAGAAGATGATAATCAAGTGTAGAAGTCTAATATTTAATAACATAATTTAAACTACATTAGCAAGAATACATTTTTTATGTCCTTTTCTGAATTGTATATTATCAATTAAGTGATTTAATTTCGATTATTTAATCAATCGAGTTGACAAGCTATCTACGTTTACTTTGGACTAGGGTGTTTTACAAGAAAGAAAGTTTAGAAGAATACCATGCAGAAAGCTTGTATGCGTGCTAAACACTTGCTAAGATATCACATCATTTACGGCTTACATTTCAGTCTTTAATCTTGCAAAACTGGCGGGAAGCCATGAAAAAATAATAATAAAAAACAATGGGAAGCCATGAAAAAAGTAGCAATAAAAGAACAGCTACATAGAGATTGAACTTGATTACTATACACAAAACTGTATACTTATAAAAAAAGTATGGTAAAAAAGATTGAAAACCTCCATTTTTGACTACTAAAATAGTATTATTTGATTTAAAACTTATATTCTAACGTTGTCTATTAACCTTTAGTTTGATTTTATATCAAGTAGAATTGTGAATGGAATTCAAAAACGAATTAAACATTTTATGGCATATATAAAGTAACATAAAGACCGAGAAATTTGTTTTATTGGAGTAATTTTATTTTAAATGGATTTCACCAGCCAAAACATCCTAGAGAGATATTGTATACGTTGTAATAATTATTTAATATCTTGTTTTGCCTAGTTCGCATTTTAGGAAATAAAACTTTAGAAACAGATATATTTATATTGTCTGGACATTAATGTAGTAATAACATAGTTTTGAGTATCTGATATTAAGAGGAATTTTATGTCCACGTTTCTTGTACTGCTTACAGACCTAGGCCCAGTATTTACACCAGTTCCAGAAGAAACATATATAGACCCTAGTAGAATGTGTTCACCAACCAGTTCTCATAATCTCTACTGGAACTGGACTGCTGCTGGAGAGATTAATATACAGAGTTGCCCAGGTGGGGCAACAGGTAAGTCAGAATTACATAATTTTTGAATCTTTATTGCTCATTACGTGTACTTTTGGTCTCATGTACCACTTTTTTCAAACAATCTGTACTGTGCCCATCGTGGATATTGAATTTTGAATTTTAGCGTTATAAGCCCTCAGGCTTTCTGCTGATCCACCAGAGAGGCACACACATGTTTACTGAAGTCATTTTAATATATTATTAATAAATCAAAATATATGTATGAATTGATACAGGCTGAGGAATAAAAACAAGTCGAATGTCAGCTGTAATTCAAAATGCATGAGAAACTTGTTACAGAAGATCATTATTGGATGTACATATCCGTATTATAAAAATAAATACATATTCAAAATATTCGATGAATGACATATTAAAACATACACAAAAAGGTGATTCAAACTAGTTTTATGTGATAGAATATATTGGAACTTTTCGAAGCAAAGCCCCCAACGACAGATAAAGTTTTGGAATTCATATATCTTAATTTCAATTTTCAAAGCGAGTATACCAATACCAGACAATCTGAATTTTTTCCGTACTAAACCGGAACTAATGATATCGTCGAGTTTACTTCATGGATGACATTAAGAGTATGAACATAAATACATGTCCCCACTTATCATTTATTGCATAAAATTGCAGACAGTAACAAGGTACTGGCCACTTAAGAGCTGAAATAATTACCCTAACGTTTTTACTCTTATCATATAGATCTTTTTACAATTTATGCTTTTGTTATGTCTTATTTATTGCATCATACTTTTTTGAGCAAATGTATCTAAAGTTATGAAAGGAAAGATGTTGAAACACTGTGTTGAAACATGTTTTAACGTAGTTTTTAAATTCACCCAAAAAAATTAGAATAATTGGCTGAGTTAATATTTCTACAGAATTACATAATGAAATTTTAGAATTACTGGAGGAATTATATTGAACCGAAATATTGTATTGAGAAGCAATGGACCGTGTGGAGTTTACAATATTTTATCATTTAGTACAATTTCAGTTCCGTCCATTATGAATCTTGGTTTTATAGTTTCTGAATGGGATTCTGTAACTTGGGATAAAGGTGTTGCTACCTTGGCTGGTAGAGGATATCTGGTATATGTCAAGAATCCTAAATGCAATTAGGTTAATTCAGGTTTCTTAACATTTAACCTCAAAACTTTTCGCTTATTGTACAATATACAGTTTTTATCTACGGCTTATGTCGCAAAGTGAGTACCTGGAACCATTTTTAGTTTAGCAAATAATATTAAATGCATTTATGGTTGCATGCTAAGATCTAAGAAATTCAGTAAATGTGACTTTTTAATGTTGTTGTTTAGGTTTGGCTAGGTGGCAGTGTAGTGCAGATATGAAATGGACGCCGAAAGATCCAGATTTGAAAGAATGTAAATCTGTCTGGGTGGATAACTTAAGAGAGAGAGTAAGTTTAAAGAATAATAATAATTTGTTGGCGATTGTTAAACTTTTGGTGTGGGCCGATGATATGGTTTTAAAATTATTTTGGCAGTTAAAAGTTTTTTCAAAATATAGATTATTTAGTTGTAAATTTATTTTTGCATGTAGTTGAAGCTATTTGTTTGTGTATTTGTAATTAAGCACGAAGTTACACAATGGGCTATCTGTGCTCTGCCCACCACGGGTATCGAAACCCAGATTCTAGCGTTGTAAGTCCGCAGACATGCCGCTGTGCCACTGGGGGGGCAGTGGAAGCGAAGTTCATTGTTTTAAAAACAATGTCAAATTCACTCAAAAATTAAAGTTGAATGGAAGTCCAAGATGGCGCAAACTACTGTGGGCAAGTAATCCATAGTGTAAAAGCCTTAAAACATTTTTCGTTTTTTTTCTTTGGAAAAAGAAAGCAAAGAAGTGACTTTTTTTGCAAGTCAACTTTGGCGCATTTTTTATCGTATTTCTTATAGTTTTAATTGGATAAACTGTTAACAAGTTCGGAGGTTCTATGGTTTAAAATGCGATGAAATTAATACTAGGTTGGTTATCAAATGGTAAAATTCCCCCAGTGGCACAGTGGTATGTCTGCGGACTTACAACGCTAGAATTCGGGTTTCGATACCCGTGGTGGGCATAGCTCAGATAGCCCGTTGTATAGCTTTGTGTTTAATTACAAACAAACAAATGGTAAAAAGTGTCAGGTTTATTATTGTAATTTAAATTGTAACTGACTAAACACAGCGCCGCTATAACCAGGGTCAAACAAACACAACTTATTACATATAACAACGAAAATGCAAAGAAAAACTTTAAAACAATTAGAATACAACTTTTCTCACTTACAAAGAAGAAGAAGAAAAAACGACAACAGTAAACCTGTGCTTGGCCAGGACTAGGTACAAAGGTTAATAAATAATACAGCATAAATCTCAGTGTTATTAATTTCAATAAATATCAAAGGAATTCGGAAAAAAGAAGCATAAGAATAAAAACCTAATTTAATAGAGAATAAAAATATTCCAAAATTAAACCACTTATCAATATCAAGAGCAATATCAAGCAATACTTATTTTGATCTATATCTCAGGAACTAACTATTTGGAGTTGTGAAATCTTTATCAGCTTTTGCTTTGTTATCACTTGTGTGTACTCCCTCAGAAATAAGTTTAAATTCTAAATATGACACTTCTGGTTGGCAAAATGTGTTGTACAATGCTAGTAGCAGACCAACTCAAGGTCTTTCAGGTGTTGTTCAAATTTGGGGGCAGACACAATAATATCATCAATATAAACTTTAAGAGTCATGCCTAACAGATGGCACATTTAATTCAAGAATATTTGTGAATAAGTTTTTGCAGCGTAAAGTCTAATCCAATGAGACAAGTTTTGGCCAAGTATTCAACAACAACATAACATTGGTTCACCCATGCGAGTTGTTACCAATAGTTTTGCTTCGAAATGTTTTCAGAGCTGTTACATTCCAACTACGTATGGGAGGAGCCCCCCCCCCCAGTTTTTCACTCATAAACACTGCGTTAACAAACTTGCTTTAAATTAAGTCATCACAAACTAGCAATTCAACCTAGATTATATGAGCAAGCTATATTTATTCAGAATGATCAGTGGCTTACTAGATTGAAATATATAACCATTCTAATATAAAGGTGGCATTATTTTATAACAAAATTAGGGACACTTATAAAAATTTGAACCTGTACTCACTATTAATTATAGTTACAGATGCAGACAGTAGTGGAAAAGCTTAGTTTATTAGTGCCAATTGTATTTATTCAAATGCATATATCAATTTTAGAATTTTTCATTCTAAAAAAGGACAGGAAAATGTCTATTACATTTCAAATTTAACATAACGTTTTGGGACAACATAGGACCTATTGATCCATCTTAGCTGTTCCACCTTTTAAACTAAAACTATCAATAAATAAGTTAAAAATATATATATATATTAAAGTCAGCCCTTATCATTCATATACTTACCAAGCTTTCCCTTAAATTTGCTGCCTCAAAAACATCTGAAGGCAACCCATTCCAAAGGCCAATCACCCTGTTAGAAAAATGAAACTGTCTTAGCTGAAGATGACTTCTACCCTGCTAAAATATATATTTGTGTCTCCTAGTCCTACTATTCTCATTGTTACGTATGAAAAAAAAAGATGATGCATCAATGCTATCAATTCCCTTTACAATCTTAGACACCTCAGTCAGAACCCCCTAACTCTTCTTTTTTCAAGAGAAAAGTTTGCAAGATTTCTACCTCTCCTCATATGACGACCCCTCCATCCCATGTACTATTCTAGTAATCTTTCTCTGAACCCTTTCCAACAATTCAATGTCTTTACCAAGGTAAGGAGCCCAAGACTAAACACAGTATTCCAAGTATGGCCTGACCAGTGATCTATACAATGAAATTATAACCCCTTTACACTTGTATTCAATATTTCTGCAGATACAACCTAAAATCCTGTTTGCCCTACCACTAGCAATAGCACACTGCTACTGTAAATGGATCAGTGCATCACATGGTGATGAAATAACTAAGCTAATAATAATAACTTGGATGAATATTTATTTCTAGGTATTTTTGATGCAGATTTCATAATAAATGTAACAAAATTAAATGTAATGATATCTATTTCAGACTGATGAAATTGGGGACATATTTCTCCTGAGGATAAGATTTTTTATCTGGGGAACTGTCCTCAGAAATCAGAGATTTATGGTCACTGTATTTAAAAAAACTCTCTCGGGAGTGAAAAGCTTACTTTGAAAAATGTTGATATCCCTGTTTTAGTTATTTTAATTTATATGATAGAATTGAGAGCCTCAATACTTTAATTTATTTCAAGTCCATTAACTGTCTTTCTGATATTTGCTGCTACTCTGTAATTTTTGTCTGAAACAGATGTACCTACCAATAAAATTACAATAACCAGGTCCTACGTTAGTTCGTATAAATAGCATTCTTTAAGTCTAAAGCAGGCAATGTGTAAAACATTGATTTATACAACTCTCAATATTTTGTACATTTTAATCATAATAATATAAGTAAAGTACATTATATTCTATTTAATTCATAATAGAAAGTATAAACCAAGCAGATATCTATAAACAAAGTAAAGCATTTATCAAGATGCATTAATTTTTTTTAATGAATTTTATTACCTTTCATAATTGCTAGAGTATTATGCATTTTGTAAGTATAGCCAATATTAGATTTACTTTGTGAACATTTATTTAAAGACTTTAATTTTTATGGTTCATTACAAAGTGTTAACTGATAAATTACATAGATATCAGAGGTTTTGTGAATTCAACTAAATGTTTTATTTACTAATTCAGATGCATGGAGGGGATTCTATTAACAGTGTTACCATGGAAATGGCTCTAATGACATTAACCAGACCACTCTTCAGCAAAGATATCACCCATGTGACATCCATGATCCATCAGACCTTACGCAGAGCTTTAAACAATATGGACAGCTATCTAGAAATCTGGCGTAGACATCAAACTTTCAAAGAACTGTTAGAGGTACAGGAATGCCATTTTGGTTTCTAAATATATTATCATTTCTAATCATTTGATCTTGAGCATTTTTCTGTGGCTATAGATTTTGATACTTTTAACTTGACATGATAATTATAAGTCAAAGACATCATCGAAAAATATGAAATGTTTTACTACAGTTATGGGGGGAAAAAGAAAAGCATTTAAGGAAGATGAAAATATTTGTTTAAATGAACATTCCAGAGGTAATCAGAAAGGAACTGGTATTTTGTATAACATTAAGTTTTAAGGATTGCTTAATTATAATGCATGAAGGTTTTGATAATTCAAGAAATGAAAGCATTGTTTTGTTTTCAAAAGAAGTCAATTTATATCAGGGTGACTATTAGCTAGTTAAACACATCTTTCACCAAATGTTTAACAGAAATTTTCTGTAAGTATATATTTTTTCAGTTTAAGAAAGTTTTACACAGGTGGTTTTGTTGTAGTAACAGTTCACATGCACAATATTAAATTGTTTTTTTTTTCACCTTTATAGTCCGTAGTAGAAACTGTTAGTAACCTGCTGGAAGAAAAACAAAGTGAGGCATGGCTTGACCTCTCAAGGTCGGAGCGTAAACAAGTTGCATCTCACTTGCTACAAGGCTTAGAAGAAAGTGCTTTACTCTTAGCTGAAACTTTGGTACAAGGAAACAGTTATTTGTTTGCAAAGAATAATGTTCGTAAGTAACTTTCAGCATTCAGAAATACAATGCAAATTACCTGCCTGTTGCCAAGATTTCTACAATTTTTTAAATACTTATATTAAACATAGCTATGACTGTTTTTGTGAAGAAATTTTATTAACCAGTGGCAAATCTCAATATGCAAACAAGCTTTTTCTCTTTAGTTTACACGTAAATCTAAAATTAAGTGATATTTTATGCACAAGAACATTTATCAGATATAAATGTAATTTACAAAAAATACACATTTCCAAAGTTTATGAAATCCGGAGAGTTGAAGTGTTGTTTTTTTTTTTGTCAGTGGTAGTTTGGAATGGTGAAGATGCAGTTTTAGAGGTATTTTAGGCTGTGTAGACATAGTAGCAATTTGGCTTTAAAGCCTGCTTGTGCCTGTTTTGGAGTAGTACGAAATTTTGGCTGGATACTGAGGCCTGACCCCTGGTGGGACAGCAGTAAGTCTTTGGACTTACAATGCTAGAATCAGGGGTTCGATTCCCCTCGATGGACACAGCAGATAGCCTGGTGTGGCTTTGCTATGAGAAAACATACATACATTTATATTGAGGCCTTCTTCAGGTTGAAGTATTCAGCCTGAAGAAGGCCTTAGTATTAAAGCTGAAATGTCATCTTCTCTAGAAACAGGCAGGAGCAGTTCATGAAAGCCAGATTCTGCTTTACAATAAAGATGCAGGTGAAAGGTCATCTTATTGCTCCATTTTTAATGTAAATAATGAGGTGTGGTCGTTATACTGAATTTTGCCATTGTTTATTTACATTTATTCATAAAGTAAAATGTTGAGATGTGACCTAGAAGTTTTTGTTGAAGGATGTACAACTATTAAAGACAAAGAAAGGGTCTTGTTTGTACTTTAAGTATGAAAATTATAACTTTGACTGTTTTTCATAGACTACTTTGCTTTGTATATTTTGTGTAAGGAATAATTGTCATGTTCAAAATAGGGTTTTGTACTAATTAAAGTTTGTCTTTGGTTTGAATGTTCTCTTAGTGATAATTATACTTACTTTTGTCAGTCCATAGTTTGTTGTGATCAGTAAACACTTAAATTTGTGCTTATATTTTAAACATACATGTGTAAATGTTCAGTATGTAAAAATCTTAAGATATCTCAAGCTATGTGAAATTATTTAACATGTGTAGATAACGATAAAATGTACATCCACAAAAAAAGGAATGATTTCTGTTTTATTTTATTTAAGTTTTGTATTAATTATTTTGATAATACACATTTTCAGTGTTATCAGTTCTTGTAATGGAAGTAAAACATTCAAAAAATGTTTTGTTTCCTATGAGAAATGATGTTAAGGAGACATCTTGGGTCAGAGTTGAAGATTTATTGTTTCTGCCAGTCCAAGCTTTAGCTGATCATGCCAATAATGGTAAGTGAGAAAGTAAATACTTTTATTTGAAATTCATTTTATATTTTATTTTCACTTATTTGAATGAGCATTCTTTACAAAGCTTATCAAACAAACCTTTACCACAAAGTTTATAACCCAGTAAAAGAAGACAGAATTATTATGTCACAGTATAGATATTTCATTAGCACACATTCCTGTAAAAGTATACATTTAATTTGCTAAATACTGAAACCTTTCTTAAGATCCCATTTCAATATCTCAAAATGTTTCATTATTGATCCCTCAATATAATATAAACCTTGGCATATTCTGTATTATAATTATTGTAGTTTATAGTAAACTATAATTCTTTAAAGCAAAATATTATTTCTTGTTTGTGCAAAATTATCTTCAGTAGGAGTGATAAGATATACTTAAAATAAGATTAAAAAATAAAGATATATGTCCATGCATTATTTTTGAATATGATGTAAGTCCTTATAACATTTTTTAGAAGGTGTAGTCTTTTAGTGTATGCACTAAGTAGCTTTAAAAAGGATTGAAATGCCATTTTATCCTGTAAGTCAGCCCAATGTCTTAACAGGTATTTTAATAATATTGTTTTATTTCTTCAGGTCTTGTCCATATTATTCTTCGAGTTTATAACAAAGTGGATGAACTTCTTCAGCCAGGAAAAGGATTTCAGTCACCAGTGCTTCCAGTTGATAAAGCTAATAAGAACATCTCATGGACTATCAATTCTCGTATTGTAGCAGCATCTGTAGGTAGAAAGAGAAGGGTTAAGTTATCAGAACCTGTTATTATCAGTTTAAAACACATCCAGGTAATTGGTTTGATATTTTATTCTAATTGTTTTCCTTATATTTAAAGCAGGACAGTATCTATTGCAAAATAATTTGGAACAATATTTTAACAATTAAAAGTTGAAGTCATATTTGTAAAATGTTTAAGTATAAAATTCCAATATGATACCTTACCTCCCTCACAAAATAGCTTTCTGGTCTTACACTGCCCTCTATTGGCATAAATGTTGACTCACCACTAGTCTTGATACTCCCAGTTATTTCTGTATACTAACGTGCAAATGATTGTGCAGTGACCCTCCACCAATAGGAGTGCAACACTACCTCTATTGTAACTAGCGCACTCTCTAATCTTGTAGCTGTTAACCGCTTTTCAATTACCAGTCTTATTGAATAGACGTGTTTATGCTCAATGTTTGATTCATTTATGAACAAGTTTTTACTTTCTTAATTTTTCTGTTTTAATTACATTGTTATTTAGTGTTTTAGTTATCTTTTGTGGAGAGATACGAATTATTTGGTGAGTTATTCAGGTGGTCAAAATACAACTGCTGGAGCGGAATTACTGACCATTTCCAAAGGGTTGAAACCACAATTTACAGCCCACGAAATAAACAAATCATACTGACGATTGTCGTATCACAGTTTTCAGTGACAGGGAAGTTTTGGATTTGGACAGCCTTTTCCCCCCTCCTGAATATGTCTCTCAGTCACGTGTCATTTTGGGGGACTTTCCCAGACCTCTTTCCCCCTTTGGTTGATTTGATTATTCAGATATATGTTTTGTCCTTATCTCTCATTCCTATTTTCTAACCATGCTCTTCTGAGGGACTAGCCTTTGGGTTATTACTTTAGTGTTTCCTCCTTCCCTGGATATTGAGGTTCATGTGAGTCATTTAGAGGACTTTGTGATAGGGGGTCAGTATGGCTCAACCCCCATGTACTGTGGACAGTCATGCTTTTGGTTATCACCATTCCAGCTTCCATTAGTTGGACTCACAATGCTGGTGTATCTTCTCCCTTAGTGGAGATCAGACCCTGATAATTTTTCTTGTATATGTCTTACTTTGACCACCCTTCTCGGGTCAGGGCTAATGGGGCCAGACTCCTTCACTTTGTCTACTTTTGGAGGTCCTTGGTGGTCAATCCATGGGTTCTAAAGTTGTGTCATTAAGTTTAGTCATTTACTTCCATTCATTTTCCCCATTGTCTAACAATCCCGTTTCCTTCCCTCCCCCTCGGGATCCCGATTTGTTGCTTGTCTGATTCATTACAGGGGCCTTTGTTTCCACTGTTCTATGGACATATGGCTGCTTCTTGCTTCCTCATAAGATGACTCAGTCCTACATCCTCAGTTTTTTCTCTAGGACACTGTCATGGTGGGTTGGCTTGTCACAGTGGAGCAATTTTCCTCACGCCCACACAATTTTTGGTTCATCTCTGGGGTGTTTTTCAACTCCCTTCTCTGTCAGGCTCTATCTGCTCTATGCAGTGTGTCTTATGCAACATTTCATCCTCTCCTACTACTGCAAAAGACCACTCTGCATAGTGTTCTGCTGCTGGTTATGTATTAGCTGGCTCACGTAATTTCCACTGCTGCACCAGTTTTTGATGTCACCTTCTTTTCTCTTCCCTTATCTCTGACACTCCTCCATCAGCCACACTCCAGCATGCATCATCCATCTGTACATTCTCTCTGTATTCACGCATGGCTTTATCTGGTCCCTCATCTGAAGGGCCGGATTTTTGCATGTAGCTTCCTTCATTTTCGTCCTGTTCTTTCTACCTCCATGGAGGTCAACCTATATACGTGGTAAATGTACTGCTTTTGGTCTATCCTAAGGAGTTATAGTCCTTCCCATTCTATGGTTCCTCACATACTGCCTTTTTCACTTGGCTTTTTGAGCAGGTTTTTTCAGTTTCCTCTGTTTTGGGCTATAGGGAGATGTTAGCTGCCACTTTTCAGTTTACCGACTCTGTTTGTGTTTTCCAGTTAAGAGTAGGGTGGTGGTATTCTGCTGGTGTAGATGGTGTGTTGCCCTTCCTACCACAGACCTGATGTATGATTCCAGATGCTGCCAGGTGTTAGATGTGGCACTTTGCCATATATTGCATTTTGCCCCACCAGCTGAGGCACCCTCCTTCCTTCCATCCTCCATATGTGGGTTCTCAGGGATTGGGTGTTTATTGGAGCTGGACCAGCTACATAAATCCTCACATGTGTTTGGATGGTACCCTCTTCCTACCAGGGACTGGATAATAAATTCCCATTGCTGCCAGATTTTGGACTGGAGATGCAACCCCCAAATAGCTGTCCCTCTTTTTACCATCCACTGAATATTGGTTGCCGGTGGATTTGGTGTTTATTGTAGCTGGATGAGACACACAAATTTCTGCATGGACTGGATGAACAGATTCCCAATGCCGCCAGGTTTTGGATTGGAGAGGAACACCCACCTGGGCTTTTCACCCATCCTACCATCTGGCAGATGTCAGTTCTTGGGATATCTGGTATGGTTTGATCTGACCAATCTCAAAATGGTTAGCAGCTGCAAGTTTAGAGAGGGCACTAGTTACAATAGGGGTAGTGTCGCTTTGCTATTGGTGGAGGGTTGCTGCATAATCATTTGATGCTAGTATGCAGAAATAAGTGAGGGTATCAAGGCTAATAGTGAGTGAAAATTTGCACCAGAAAGTTTTTATGTGAGTAGAGGTAAGTATTTGTCGGAAATACTTTTTCAGTTTAAGAAAATGTTAATGTTTAGCTAATTCAGAATTTTATATTTATAGGCCTGTTTTGAGTTGGATCTACAGTGTTACATCTCTATAGTGGTATTCATGTTTGGATCTTTGTATATTGAAAATAAATATTTTATTCCTTCATTACACTAAAAGTGGAGTTTTTGATTTCCAAGGCTGCAGTTCAAGAAAATTAATATATATCAGTACTGATAGTAAGAAAGATTACAAATCATTTAGTTTATCATTTGTATTTTAAAGTTATTTTGGAGCTAGAGAAAGATGAAACTGTTTAATATTGAGAAATTTACTGTAATTTTTTAATTAATCCTATGCTCCTGCTTTTCTAGGAGGAAAATGTTACAAATGCCCACTGTGTATATTGGGATGTAGCTCACAGGTAACTGAGAATTTATTACTAATCGCATTATATTTAGAATTGTTATAAAGTAAGCACTTTAGTATTTCAGCAACTATTTCTGTTAACTAAAATCAGAACCTAATTGTTTTACATAAATTATATTGTAATCCATGTGATGAGCACTATATAACAAATTCCCAGTGTGACACGGCTAATGTTGCACGGTAAGTGTTAACCATCTGGGTTAGAAAGAAGGAATTAAGAGTTATGTAGATGATACAGTGATCACTTTGATGAGATGAGCTGTAACCTTCTCTAACAGATGTTGAAAATAATCTAAAGTTACTGAAAAAAAACTTAGGCAAATGTAAATATCCAGCTAATTGTTCTTGTTTTCAAATATATTTTCACATATCTCGAAATACAGGTCACTGTATTTGTTTCATTGTATACTTAGGGAATGGTCAGGAGAAGGCTGCTGGGTAAAGAACTCTAACATCTCACACACTGTCTGTGCTTGTAACCACTTGACTAACTTTGCTGTTTTAATGGAAGTCAAGCCATTGGAGGTAAGAAAGTGTTGTGTTGTCATTTGATGTACAGTAAATGCTCAAATAGACTGTTTATGTTCTGTGTTTTTTACTTTTTTGATCTGACCAATAACATAACACAATGTTTTGGAACAACATGGGACCTATTGGTCCATCTCAGCTGTTCTATCCTCTAAACTAAATTAAAATAATTTTTAAAAAATCTTAAAGCCAGCACTTATCATTCATATACTTATCAAGCTTTTTCTTAAACTCACTTAAATTTGCTGCCTCTACAACATCTGAAGGTAACCCATTCCAAAGGCCAACCACCTTATTAGAAAAATGAAACTGTCTTAGCTGAAGATGACTCCTACCTTGCCAAAATTTATATTTATGTCCCCTAGTCCTACTATTCACACTGTTAAATAGAAAAAAAGATAATGCATCAACACTATCAATTCCCTTTACAGTCTTAAACACCTCAATCAGATCCCCCCTAACTCTTCTTTTTTCAAGAGAAAACAATTTGAGAGATTTCCGCCTCTCCTTGTATGAAACTCCTTCATCCCAGGCACCATTCTAGTAACCCTTCTCTGAATCATTTCCAACAATTCAGTGTCTTTCCTAAGGTAAGGAGCCCAGAACTGAACACAATATTCCAAATATGGCCTGACCAGTGACCTATATAATGAAATTATAATCTCTTTACACTTGTATTCAATATTTCTGTAGATTCAACCAAAAATCATATTTGCCCTACCACTAGCAACAGCACACTGCTTGGATAGCTTTAGAGACTGATTGACTGTTACACCAAGACCCGTTTCCTTCATAACACTATTAAGGTTTTTCCCATCCAAATTATACTTATAATTCAAATTATGAAAACCCACATGCATTATCTTGCATTTATTATAATTAAAACCCATCTGCAATTTATTTGCTCAACTCGTTAAATGTTCTAAATCCTGTTCTAAATTCTAAATACTGTGAAAATGAGCATTACTCCGTAAAATGTTGTTTAATGTTTTGACATCAGAACATCTCTCTCAGAAAGGTATCTTTAATTAATAGATTATCATCAATAAAGTTTTCTGCTGTTATACTAAAGATTTACATATTGCACTAACATAAGTATTCTTCGTAAGCTTGCTAAGTAAAATATGTCCAATAGTTTATTTTTATTACTATTTTTGGTTTCAATGATACTTTTGGATTTTTTTTTCACTTATTACCGTAGATGGCCCATGGAAAAAGCAGTTTACTTCAAATCTTGACTTCCACTAGTTGTGCTTTATGTGGCCTTTTTGTGTTGGCAACCATTGTAGCTCTACATCTTACTAAGTAAGTGAGCAAAAATATCTGAAATTTGTTGATTTGAATAATATTCATAGTATTTTTTTAGAATACAGCTATTTTCTTTTGTAAAACGATATTCAGATCTTTGAGAACAGTGGTTTCCAACTGAGGACAGCTAATTCCAATCCCAGAATTTCATGGACCTGTTCATACTATATTAACATTTTAGGGTGTTTAGAATTACATTGTAAAACAATATAGTTTAGTAACTATATTTTATAACACACATTTGTTTTTTCAATTGTTTTTCTGACTGGCTGAAATCTCCCTGTGGACCTTCAGTTAGAAACCATTGCTGTAGCAGACTGGTTTAGATGGACTGTTAACCACAATAGATTTTTTTTACACTAGATAAGTTTTTGTGGTAAAAACTACATTATTCATACAGAATATAATATGAGTTGGACTGATCAAAATATCAAATGCGTGTAATACAAGTTTCAGTTCTTCGGTACTTAAGAATATATATATATATAAAAGAAACATTACAATAGAACTGAAATTAAACTACAACTTATGACTTAATGTTGACAACTAGGACTGATAATGGAAAATAACTGTTTAATTTTAGTTCTGTTGTAACGTTTGTTTTTATTAAGTTCATTATTGTTTTATGGTACAGATCTAATCACCTATTGACAATTAATCCAACTGATAGTATTAGAGCAATTTATAAATAAATAAATAAATATATATATATATATAGTGTATGTGTGTGTGTGTGTGTGTGTGTGTATGTATATGTATATATATATATATATATATATATATATATAC